TAATGAGTCAAATGATGTGAGAGTTAGGGTTGGGACAATGAAATAAGTGGTGTAAGAGTTAAACAATTAAGTTTGATTTTGAAAAACTATTGTAAGGGTTTGAAGAGAATTGAAATATTATTTAAAGTAATTATTTTTGTTTTTTCAGCTTGTTGATAAAGTTGGTCCACATGTGTGTATAGTTAAAACCCATGTAGATATCATAGAAGATTTTAACGATGATTTCATAACAGCTTTACAAAAACTTGCTGATAAGCACAATTTTTTAATTTTCGAAGATAGGTAAGTATTTTTTATTACAGACTTTCTAGTTTTTGTTAAATCGTGAAAATTTGTAATGTCTATTGACCAGTATCACATAACTCGTACATAAACATGTTTTTAATTGTCGTGTAGGTCATAAACATAATATAAATCGTAAATATATCACATTATTGCAACAAATCAGTTCTCGCAGAACACTATTGTCTCTTGCTGAACGGTGAATGTATTAGTCAGTGATGCAGTACTGTCATGTCAACTCTAATACGTATACCAAGTGATATCAAAAGTGATATTACTTGGCATAAAAGATTTATCTGATTACTACACATGATAATGCATGATTGAAATGAATCTGATAACCGGGATACATTCATTCTAAATGCTTGAAAAGATAAATATTAGAACCCATCTGGTCCCTCACTCCCTTCAAGACCCTCATTGTGCCTGAGATAAATGGACTATTTCAAAACTTTCCCATGACTCACACATGTGATGAAGTCTTACAAAGACTTGTCAGGTGTGTTTATCCACCTATGAGAGGACCCATTCCCAATGTAAGATATGTACACCACATGTGAAATGGATTCAACACTACTAGTATGACAAATTTAGATCACTGAGGTGCATACATGTATGATGTATAAATGCAAATTTTGTCTTCTGCAAGTCTGATTCATACTTCGATAAAACTCATGCTCAGTGGACTTATTCCTCTTTCTATGTTCTATATATTCTGGAAGTACTGAAAAATCATCTTCTGCCTGGAATTCTAGCTATACATATCAAACTGAAAAGTCTTGCATACATTGTGTACATTTAACTACCAGTGTGCTATGCTAGTGAAATAAGGAATTGATCTGATTTCATTTTTTCTGAATAGTCCACATTATGAATTCCCGAAATCAGTCGTGTGGATTCGTAAATATGCATTTGAATTTACTTGGTGACTCAAAACAACTAGAGATTCAGCAAGGTGCTGCAGTATTATGACGGCGTGTTTATAAATGATCTATTATAATATAGAAACGTAGCTATCTGTTTAGCTAGCTACATAGCAATCATGCTAGACAATTCTTCATGGCAGTAGAATCACCATTGAACTAACAATTCTCTAAAGCATATGGAAGTGGAGCCAAATTAAAAGAATACTCATGTTTATTGTGGTGTCTTTGTAGGAAATTTGCTGATATTGGGAACACAGTAAAACATCAATATAGTAGTGGTGTGTATAAAATAAACCAGTGGGCACATATAACAAATGCACACTCAGTACCTGGAGATGGAGTAGTGCAGGGATTGAAGGACGTTGGGCTGCCAAAAAACCGAGGATGTCTTCTTATTGCAGAGATGAGTTCTACTGGTAACCTAGCAACTGGAGAATATACGAAAGGTAAAACTGATTAAAGATAGTAATATATCAACAGCACAATAACAAACAATTCAACGCTAGTGCGTGAGTGTTCTGTACTTAACTACCAATGACTGGATGGTATTCATTTCCGGGTTTAATGTAAGAATGATGATTGGCATTTATCAAACCGCCATATATTTTCAATGTAGCATAGATATGACATTGTAGTGTCAAATAATTTCAACCCGTGACGAAACATTCATAGATCATTTTTTATTCTCTTTTGATGTCTTTTACTCATAGCAACGGTCAAAATGGCAGAGGAACAAGCAGATTTTGTCATTGGTTTCATCTGTACTTCACGACTTACTGACGACCCCAGATTTCTTCACATGACCCCAGGTAAAAAAAAATGTTCAATTCAGATTATTTTTCGCTTAGCAAATTTTGCAATGAGCAACTTGATATTTCCTCCTGGAAAAGTCAAGGTAAATATTTTTAATTTGTTGAATAGTCTAAAGTTGCATAAATGACGAATTTTTACTGTCTAACTTCGAGAGGTCACGGAGCAAGTGTAAATGAGGCTTAGATGATAGATTTCATTCATCAAGTACTCCATTTCATCCAGTCGGTGCACTCCTTAAGTTTGCAATGACATTCTTTGTATGTTTGTGATCAAATACTAATTTCCTATGTTCATTAGGCAAGTTTTGAGTTTCCAGGCATGTTCCATGGTCACCACCTTACTGAACGAGCTCACGATGGAAAGGGGGGGGTTCGATTTTAGAACTTGTCGTCTTTGAGCCAGTTTGCATCAGTTTTTGACAAGTTGAATACACATTCTTGTATGTTGTTCCCCAGAAGTATTTTACAAAGGCGCATACAAAAAGATATAAACTATATTTTGTCAATATTCATTTTGAGTGAGAGAATATAAAACACATTTTCTATATTTTTTGAAAAGTTAGTGAATTTTAAAAGGTAATGATGAATGTCTACAATACAGTAGAACATTCAAAAGATTCGATCTTACTTCAATTTGAATCCAAAATCATAAATCCAAATTGAAATTGGTTTCATCCATTTACTGTTTGAATCTGAGTGGAGCATAGGTTTGAACATGCTTAAGTCAAAACAATCATCATTGACAATGGTCATTGGAATTCCTGTTTAATTTGGCATCTACAGTAGTATTTCATTATTTGTTTGACCAATTTGAAACAACTTCATGAATAATTTATATCACATTGCATAATGCTTGATGACATCATACTTAAACAAAGTTATTCATTGTAGGTGTCCAGTTATCAGCTGGAGGGGACTCCCTAGGTCAGCAATATTTGACACCCAATATTGTGATAGGTGACAGAGGCAGTGACATCATCATTGTAGGAAGGGGCATATATAAGGTAAGTCAACAAAATGTATCGTGCATCTTTACTGACAACATGCTGGTTTGAATTACTTAACTATATTAATGTTCTTGTTTCAAGTTATTGTACTTAAGCAAAATTATTTTATGTAGCTGAGCTTGTAATATGTTCAGAAGAAAACAAATGACTGCTGTTAGTTACCGATCCCTCTCGACACCGATACCGACACCGAAATAAAAATATAATTTTATTTCAGCGTAATTTCTCAGGCCCGCCAACTTGTAAGCGCAAAAAATGCTAAAAAAATATTATTTTAATCTTCATGTTTTTTTTCGCCCGCCGCATAACAAATCCAAGTTGCATTTTCGTGGGAGTATCATGATCGAAGTACTGAAGTTCGCGCAGATGAGAAAGAAGGTTATACATGGAATAAAATTTTATTTCATTTCTTCTCTCCTATCAATGATCTCACTTACAATTCCTTGAGAATCACGCAAATCTAATGGAAAAAAAGATTTTTTTTTTTTTTTTTTTCTCTTTGCCCTCCTCAAAAAAATTCCCTTATAAAAACTCGCGAAACAAGGAATAAAAAAAGTCTGACCTAGATACCAATGAATTAACTGCTTTCTCATAACAGAAATAATGTACAAAAAGTCCATAGATAACAAAGTAGTTTCATTGTCTTAGTATATGCATAATCTGAAACGTTATTCTTTTAAACAATGTTTTAATATATCAAATATGATCTGAATTTACATCATGAGTGAGCTGATATGTGGTGTCGGCAGTTAGACATTACACTATTGCCACAAACATGCGCTATCCAGGAGATTCCCCATAGTCGGCTGTCTGTGCAATCTGGCATTACCCCATTTAGTGATTTTGAACATTTCAGTAGTTGGAATTGTTATATTCTGATTTTATGGGAGACCGATGATTTGCAATGACTTGAAGCCAAGTAACACACCATCTTGCCAACACATATTCCTTGCAGTTGGTCTGCGAACTAGATTATTGTTGTGAGCTCCTCAAAACTGACATTTTAGATGACCAGCAGGTCTGTAAACTATTGCTAATAGTGGTTTATTTCTCCGACAGGCGGATGATCCATCCAATGCAGCTAAACTCTTCAAGGAAGCTGGATATGAAGCTTATCTCAAACAGTCTGTGGATTTCACAATCACTGAACAATGACCTTTTTGTTTCATTCACTATTGGGAGAATATACCTCATAGGTTGTACCTTAGGGGGTTTATTCAAATGAGAAAACAAGTTAGGGAGTCTAGTCAAATGAAGTTGGAAGGTAGAGGCATATTCAGATGAAATGTATATTTACAAAATAGTACTATACATTAAATTGTTCATTTTGAGCTACATGTGTTAGCACAACTTTTAACTTTCCCTGCTCTTGGTCGTTCAACACTTAGACGTTTATTCTTTATGGCGATAAATCTTTTCTTATATGCATATCAGGATTTGAATTTGGTAGAGTTACGGTAGTTTGTCTATGACTTCAATTATGACAAGTACCCCCTATAAATACTAATCTGTGGAGCAGTACTATAAATAAATTCATTAAAAGAATGTTTTCATTATCATCTGATATTTATTTTCTATTCTACTGTCTGAGGATAAGCATTTTTATTTATGCAAATAAATACATATCCAATATACATGATATGAATAAATACATTATGAACTTCTTGTAAACATCACTTTGGTTGAACTACACTCTGCTTCTCGCACCATTTATCAATTTCTACTTTGTTGATGCTCAAAATTGTTAACACATAAGCGTAACAATATAAATATAGCCTAGCCTGTAGAGTATGGGTCTAGCCGAATCTTTGAATTATGTCATCTGAAATGTATTTTCAGTAGTTATAGAGGCTATCGTACTGTGGTTTGCGTACATGTGTCATTGACACTCAAATATAAAATGGTGTTTGCCATTGTTATTAAATATGCATGTACGTGTCCCTGTTAATAAAACTAACTTGCAAGCAACTGATTAGTGAGTTTCATTTATTATCAGAAATTTGCATGCTGGTTGACAAAAAATGATTGGAAAACACTTGGGATTGGGGTAATCAGGGGAGGTACAAGAAGGCAACTTACAAGGACCCCTGGGCGAAAAGTCAAATACATAGCCATGGGCCTTTCTGATCTCGAGTGTGCATTATGCCTCATTATTTTCAACGAAAAGGCAATTACTTAACCCTTAGTTTTCACATCAGTTGGACTGTGTGAATAAACCAAAATGTGTGAAAAAGGATTAAAATTGCAGATTTTCGTCAAACTAAATGGCTGATGATTAGCCATATTGCATCTTTGTGAAATAATATACTGTCTCTGTAACAAAACCGAATAAACTTAGTAATTCTACTCTCTAGTTATGAACAAAATGGCTGCCAGTTGGCCAATTTCAAAGAAATATCTGAAAAATAATAGATGTGCCTCAGTATGTGCCACCTGTATTCTAAGTTTGAGCAAAATTGGTCAGCACAACTGATAATGCTCTACATATGTAAAATGTAGGTTGTTGGGCTATATTTTGTCAAAGATGGCCACCAATCAGCCATTTTGGCTGTTTAGAAACAAGAAAAATTAGGGACTACTGTAAAATGACTAATATTCACTGGGTTTAAATTTCACTGATTTACCATTTCAGGCATATTCAGTGGGTTTTAAATTCACGGTTTTATCATTTAGATAATGTGTTCTATGCTAAATTTTACATATTCACTGTGTTTTAATTTAGCGCATTTTT